AATATCACATGGTCATAAGTATTCAGACCCTTTGCTGTGACATTCATATTTAACTCACATGCTGTCCATTTCTTCTGATCCTCCTTGAAATGGTTCTACACCTTCATTGGAGTCCAGTTGTCTTTGATTAAACTGATTGGACTTGATTAGGAAAGCCATATATCTATATCTATATGTCTATATAAGACCTTACAGCTCACTGTGCATGTCAGAGCAAATGAGGTCAGTGGAACTGCCTGAAGAGCTGAGATAGAATTGTGGCAAGACTCAGATCTGGCCAAGGTTACAAAACAATATCTGCTGCACTTAAGGTTCCTAAGAGCACAGTGGCCTCCATAATCCTTAAATGGAAGACATTTGGGACGACCAGAACTCTTCCTAGACCTGGCCGTCCAGCCAAACTGAGCAATTGGAGGAGAAGAGCCTTGGTGAGAGAGGTAAAGAAGAACCCAAAGATCACAGTGGCTGAGCTCCAGAGATGCAGTCGGGGGATGGGATAAAGTTCCACAAAGTCAACCATCACTGCAGCCCTCCCACCAGTCTGGGCTTTATGACAGAGTGGCCTGACGGAAGTCTCTCCTCGGTGTAAGACACACGAAAGCCTGCATAGAGTTTACTAAAACATCACCTGAAGGACTCCAAGATGGGGACAAATTAGAACTTTTTGGCCTTAATTCTAAGCGGTATGTGTGGAGAAAACCAGGCACTGCTCATCACCTGCCCAATACAATCCCAACAGTGAAACATGGTGGTGGCAGCATCATGCTATGGGGGTGTTTTTCAGCTACAGGGACAGGACGACTGGTTGCAATTGAAGGAAAGATGAATGCGGCCAAGTACAGAGATATCCTGGAAGAAAACCTCTTCCAGAGTGCTCAGGACCTCAGACTTGGCTGAAGGTTCACCTTCCAACAAGACAATGACCCTAAGCACACAGCTAAGTACATGAACTTTTTTGATTTTAGCAAATGGCTGCAATGAAACAAAGAGTGAAAAATTTAAAGGGGTCTGAATACTTTCCATACCCACCGTATATACACATAGATATATACATATAGAAATATATATATATATATATATATATATATAGAGAGAGAGAGAGAGAGAGATAGATATATACAGATATCAAAATACAGTAGTCTACAGAAATCATGCATAAAGGCTAAAATGCTTTTTATCATTTTCTACACCATCAATTGGAGACTCATGGGTATTGCAAGGGTAAATGCAGAAGTATGATCATATAAATTAATTATACAATTTGAAGAAGTTTGGTGGGCCGAATTAAAAAGCTGAACGGCCTTAGTTTCCCCATGCCTGGCCTACACCATCAGTCGCCACATGTATAATTTAAATGCCAACATGCACAATTTAAATGCAGATGTGTAACTTAAGTACTTGGTTTTATAATAAAATGGAATTTTTAAGTCAGAAGTCAACAGCACAAGAGGAAGCTTTGATTAGTTTAATCCCAACATGGCAAATGTGAAGAAACTTTAAATCTAAGGTTGACAAATAAGAGCCATGATGTAATAGGTGTTTTGGTTAGAGATTTAAACTTCGAGCCTCAGATCATCATTTGACATCTGCAACAGTTGATGTGACCAACACTTAGGACAGTGTTTGGGCATTTAGATTTCATGAAAAACAAGTAGGTTTACATTTTGTCCATTCTGAATTCCTTGGACTTAGGTCACAAAAAAAGAGTGAAGTAAAGACAGTACAATCTTGTTAAATTTAATGTAGTTTATTTTTAAATATCAAATGAAAGTAAGTAAATGGAATGGAGGTCCAGGCCCAATAAAACAAAAATGTTGCCTCAGAGATTCACATCCCAAAGACATCCATATCAAACTAAAACATCCAACAAGACAACCATGAACTGAATCACCAAAAAGCCATTGATGAAATAACTACAAATGCTTGATCATAAATGAACTCTTCAATCATTCTGTTCTAAATTACTGGTTGGTAGGCGGATAATGTTGAACCATGGATGGACCAGGTCACAAACTCAGAGGGATCCAAGCTCTGATTTTGGAAACTTCATCCATGGTACAACACTCAGTAAGAATTAATGACTGGATTTCTTGAAGTACCCAAGAAGAAGAAGGGGTGAGAAAGAGTAAGGTGAGTAGTTAAGTGAAGTGTGAAGGAAATCCAGCTCATTAAACTTAGACTGAAAATCTAAAAAAAAACTAAAGCAAAAATAAACCTGGGATCAAGCATCTAGTTTAGTTCATCAGTGACCAAAGACCACATTCTTAGAATATCCATGAAATGTCATGCAAATTTGTACAACAGTCAAACTTATCAGAAAAACAAAAACAAAAAAACAACATATAGCTGAGCAGGGATCACAAACAGAAATGTCTGTCAGCTGTGATGAGCCTGTGTCCTTGGGGGTCGATTACCTGAACACATTTCAGGGATTATATTTACTACCAACCTTAAGACATCTAGTAGGAAGGAGGCAGCTCTGGAATATGTTGGCCATAGTTGTCTAGTTCATGTGTCGTACTCAACCAGGTCCAGTCAACATCTTCTAATAGAGGACGAGAAGGAGAATAAATTCAATTAATTAAATAAATAAAAAATAAAGAGAAATATGTAAACATATGCCTGTAAAGGGGAGGGCACAAGTTATCTAAAAGAACCAATCATTAGAATACATAAAAGAACAGCATAAGATAGAACATCATTGAGGACTTGCTCACATTTATCCGACTTTGGCACATCTAAGGGGCCAGTCCAGATCGGGTTTGAACTTTGGTGTGCTGTGTGAACAGGCGCCACCGAAACACCATAGCCCTGAGATGTGTCATCCAAGCTTAAAGGCTGCATCTGCAGGAGCTGAAATCTTCTCCAATGACAGTGAGGACTCCCTGGGTTTAAATCCTGACAGAACAAAACAGCAAATGAGTTACAGTGACCATGATTTTTTTTCCCCTTAAACTACAATTATAAAGAACACAGTTTTTGAATAAGCAGCTAGATTTGAATAAACAGTTCTCAGGAAAAAAAGGGAACTTCAGTCCCTCAATTCTTTCTGATGTCATTCAACATTTGGTCACAAGTGGAATTTTGTAACAAACAAACTCACCTTAGACTCCTTTAACCAGGATAAATCTTCTCCGTACTTGGTCAACTTTGGTCCATAGAATCCTAGACCATAGAATCCTAGACAACAACCGAACCAGTCAGTGAGAAGTTTTAAATGATTTATTAGTTGTCAATGTGAAGAACAAACCTGAAGACATCTTGTGGCTGAGAAGGTCTTGCTACATAGTGCCACTTTCACCTCACAGTCCAGGTCAGATCTCCTGTGTGAATGGATCCAGCACCAACACCTGTGGGGCAGGGAATAACTACAGCCCACACCACCCACCAACACTCATCAAAAATACCTGATCCCCAAAAAAAAAACTGATCTAAATACCACAGAAGAGCTTACAACTCTTTAGCAGAAAACTGACTTGGCAGAAGGAGACAAAGCTCTAAATGTTCAATGAATTTAAAAGACAATTTAAAGTGAAATAGTGTCACAGTTCGACAGAATTGGTGAATTTGACATGAAATGTTAAACATTTAAAAACAAAATATATGCGCTGAATGCTAATTTAAATCCACCAACTAATGACTTGCAATAATAAGAGCTGGACATATACAAACAAATACAACTGTACAGATACAAAAGTCAAATACAAATGAATAAACAGTTACAGAAGTCAAATACAGATGGACATAGTTACAAAAGTCAAATAGACATGAATACAGTTAGAAAGGGTACAACGGCAAGGAATACACATGGCTTTTAGAGTCGTGGACGTCCATGTTGGTACATGAAGTTGGAATTCTGGTAGTCACTCTGGCCAGCAACAGGACAGCAGGGTAACCAAGGCGTCCAAGATTGTGAGGTATGTCCACGACGTCCAAAATGGTGGAAAATGACCGTAGACGGGATATCAGAATTGTGTGGAAATGACCGCAACGTCCAGGATTGTGGAAACCGACGATAAACGCAACGTCCAGGATTGTGGAAAACGACGGTAAACGCAACGTCCAAAATCGTGGTAAACGACGGCGAACGGGACATCAAATTGTGGAAGCTTTCAGTTATATAAACTGCCAATGAACTTTAAAGTAAGGTAAAAATGTTTGAGAGGCTAATGACCATACTAGAACTTACAGGACAGAGACAGGTAGGCGTGGCAGCCAAGAGAAAGCGCCGCAATGGCATTGAACCTATTACTGCGCGTCTTTTGACGCCCAGATTTACAGCCAGTAAACCATTTGTATTGCTAAGTTTAACGCATTCAAAAAAACGCACATTCAACGAGGCACAGCGGCCTAGCGTAGCAAAGCAGCGACACGGCGGTCGCAGAACCAAATAATAAAAACAATGCTTCCTTACTGTGTCGAAGAGCTTCAGGATGAACAATCTGGAAAACAAACGAGAACAAAGTTTTTGAGTTACCACAACATCTGTCAAATGATTACTTTCATATCAAAATACAACACCTGAGTTTGACTCCACACATCGCTCACCTTGTCTTTCAGTGTACTTTGGCGCTGTACAACTCCGGCCTAGTCTCCGTGCGCAGAAATTCCGACATATTGGTTCAATACAATATAAACGATTTATTTTAGATATCCACCGTAGAATATTTCCGAAAGTGAATTCACCCCAACAGCAGATAATCCAACAGTCACTTCCTTTTCTATCTCTATCATACATCCGGACCAGGTCGAGCCGCCATTTATAAATAACTGTATACCTGTAGCTTTTAAATCGAGGGACAAACATTTTCGGCGTCTGACGTCATTTCCTCATCCGTCTTAAGCGAATGAGCTGTGCTGCTGCATCGTCCTGACGTGCAACACCGGAAATCAGAGTGATTGGCCTGATTCCTGTGAGGCGGGGCGCCCGCAGCAGCGGTTTGTTCTATTTATTTAGAAAGGTGTGGTCAGTAGTAAATAGTCAACTAAAAGATTGAACGGTTTATTGTTAAAGAACACGTTCTCTTATAAATTCTTATAACGTGCAATTAATTAAATCTTAAATATAATTTATTTGTTTCGACAGTGCAACTTTTAAAATATAAACTAATTCAATTGAGAACTTTAGATAACATTTTAAGTGCATAACTGTAGGAACTCCCTTTAAACATGATTACTTTAAAAGGGAAAACAGAACAAAAATTCCTGCCTAGATCCTGATGTGACATTTTTGCTTTGATTTATTTTTATTTATTGTTAAATTTAGTGCTGCTGCTGTGTGTGTGTGACAGATGTGTGTATTGGACATTTATGGAAATATATAAAAGTTTTGCAACATTGAATTGTTAAATAAAGGACGATTAGTATGCAAAATTAGTTAAAATGAGAGTTTAAGTTATTTGAGTTTTGAGAAGTAAAAAAAAACAAAAAAACATCGACATTATTTGGATTTTTCACATTAGTTGTGCTCCCAGGGAGTAAATTAGGGAACAAGTCACATAAACAATGTAGACTGAGGAAAGGCCCATTGTTTGTTTGTGGTTGTTGTTGTTTTTTCTTACAATGACAGATAATATTTAGAAGGTTTCTTGAAACAGAAGAACACTACAGAAATGCAGCATGGTGTCTTTAGGTTATAACTAAAGTTAAACACAGCTACGGTTTGACTTCACAAATTTATGTAAACTAATGAAAAACTGCAAGTTATAAAAGCTGCGCAATTTACTAAATGTTCTGGAATTGTTCCTTGAAGACATATTTCCCATGGGAAGGGAGAATTTTAGAAATTTTGTCAGCTGGCTATTAATATAGTTTAAAGGCACTCACAGGCCACATGAAAACATACCATGTTCCACAATTGGTCCCCAGGAATTACTTAGGACGTGCCTGTGGTGAAGGGTGTGTTAAAATTTAAAAAAGTCTTCTGCTGTAGCGTTCTGCTTAGGAGCTAGTAAAGAAAAGGGAACAAAGGTCACATTTATTCAAATTAGTTTTATTAGTTGCTTGTGTTAAAATGTTTTATTACTATCCCAATAATTATTATTAAATATCACATGAAAAAAGGTTACATTAATTAAACTGAACTCAAAATCTACCACAGATCAAAAAGCTTAAACAGTAACATGAGACAGAACCAAAGATTCTGTGTGAGCATCTGAACGTGGGACCGTTTCATGCTGGAGAAGACAGACATTTAAAGGCTCGGATTATCAAGATGACATTAAAAGCAACACAGTAATGTTTCCTCCTCACAGTGTGAAGTGTTAATCTCTAATGTAGCATGACAATAACAGACCATAATAGGGATTGCACAGAAAAGGTATTTATTGGATACAATACAGCTGAGCACATAGTTATTAGCCCTTCTGAGAAAATGACATTAAGTCCCAGGCACTTTCATACAGAAGAGTACTGGACTTCAGCCTTCTGGAAATAAAACAGAACAGAACACATTCAAAATGCTAGTGAATTTAGATTGAACGATTTACCTAATCCTGCATGTTTTTAGACTGTGGGAGGAAACTGGAGAAAACCCACACATACACCAGGACAAAGAGAGCAGCGAGTCCCTGTGTGACCAAAAAAATAAATAAAAAAAGATCAAGGCTAGATGTTGCCACACGGCCATACATGTTGTTGGAAAGCTTTACACCTTCACAGATATACAGCCAGTGGTTTGCTAGTTCAATATCCGGTTGATTTTTTTCCCCCATTTGTGGAGTTTCTCCAGGTGCTGCGGTTTTGTCGCACTGCCCCAAACGGTTAATCAGAAACTCTTAGTTGGTGTTTATATGGCAATGATATGACTACAGATCCCAGAGCTATACACTGTCTTGGCCTTGCATTTATATGAATAGAAAGTGTTAAGTAGAGAACTCTAGTCTCTGGTCTCCGAATACTGTTCCCAGAGTAGAGACGTTTGAAAACTAGGACTTTTGCATCCCTGTGTGAACGGAGCTGAGTAAGACGACACAGTCAGCTCTGCCTCTATGTCACCTTTAACCCAGTAACCCTGTGCTCAACACTAATAACAACAATAGCAGAGACCATGCTACTTCTGGCCTTGCTGAAGAAGCTAATTCTGGGAATTTGTTGTGCAATTAAAAACATTGTGGACCAAGACAAACTGACCAATGTCTGCTGAAGACAACTTGAGACAATATGACACATTCTAGAAGTATATTTTGGCTAAATTAGATGAATAAATTAGAAGTCTTATATAAAGTTATTTTTTTTATGTTTTTACCCAGAAAAGAATTTTCGCAAGAAATGAAACTGACTGACTGAATTGGTGTCCTACGTTCGACCTGGACTTAAACCTGACTGAAAATCTGTGAAGAGAAGGGAAGACAAGGGGTTGGATCTGGAGCAGCTTGAGAGATATTTGAGAAAACTTGTCTTAAACCTAATGAAAACTATTCCAAAAGACTGCATACTGTCCTGCCTAAAAATACCTGGAACACATTCTCCAATGAAAGACATTTTCTTGGGGATAATAAATGTATCCTCAACCATGATAAAATATTCAGGGTACTAAGGACATAGGACACACTCTTTTCACAGTAAATACAATATAAAACAATACAGTATATGTAGTTAACAAATTTCATGGGTTTATAAAATTCCATTTTAACGTTATTTACAAATGATCCCACCTACACGAACATAATCTCAGTTAAAACCGAGCTCAGGAATGACTGCCCAGAATCTCGTCTAAGTTGATGTCTTTCATCCAGTCGTCATTGCCAGAGTCAGACTTGAGTAGAGAGTCAATGAAATCTGAGTCTGTGTTAATGCCTGGGACTGTGTTGTCTCCTTCAGGCAGGAAATCGAATGTCAGGCGGTTGGTTCTGTTGTTCTGGTGAAAGTTGCTAGAACAGGGACTGGGCTCAGCGTAGCTGCCTGCAGGTACCCTCTGCTCTGGAGAGGCCTGGCTCGGGTTTCCCACAGCTGATGGAGATCCCATCAAGGACTGGCCTGCTCTTGGACCTGTGTCTCTTAAAGAAGGGTTAAGAGAGAGCATCCCAGCCTCTGGTGCTACTTGGTTTGGCGGCCCGACGTGCCGCTGTTGGTACTGAAGGTTTGGCATGTCCAGCTGCCCACCCTGTGACTGCAGCGGAGCGGGTAAACGCCGTATGCCAAGTCCAGTTGTCACTTGCTTGTTGGCTGAGGCCCAGGCCATGTTGACATTTGTCATCAAGCTGCCCATACCCGGCCCTGGCACCACTGAGGAATGAAGATCGGCTGTGCTTCTTACATGTTGCCCACCTGCTACACTGTTCATCCCAAAGGAGCCTCCTTGAGTGTTTGGACCCAGGAACCTTGGCTTATTTGGATTCATATGCTGCTTGAATTGGCCAATGCAGGAATTTGGATGACAGTCAGTCCCCAATCCAAATCTGCGGTCCGATGTTGGTGGACTTATCTTTGAACCAGACCCACTTGAGAGGTGACAGGACATGGCCTGTAGGTCATTCTGTGGACCGGTGCTGGAGGAAGGTGAAGAGTTTGGACCTAAAGGAAACAAAAACAATGTTATGAGGATCAGTTCTCTTTTCTGTGTTTGTCCTTTCTTTTATCCATGGTTAGATCTGATCACACATGTACCTGTGAAGAGGTTTCCTTGCTTCAGTCCCACCATGCTTCTTGACTGTTTGTAATCTGGCGGGGGTCTTGTCAGATGGCGACTGAACTGATCGTGTACGTTGTCTTTGTCCTTAGAAATTAAAAAGAAATTTGTTAAATAAATGTAAATTTCAGTATTTTAAGACATTTTAGTAAACATAATTTTCATAATTTATTAGTGCAGGGTGTCTAGCCACACCCCTTCCTTCCCCCAAGGGGGCACACATCTATTACAGGGGAGTCAACCGAACTCAGGTTTAATAATTTATTATTCGAGACAGTGATTAATTTATACAGATTTGCCATTTGTAATTTAACAAATTAAAAAAGTAAAACAAATGTAGACAAATGTAGAAAGTACAAATATAATTTTAAAATAGCATGTAGTTGTTCCTAACTGTTAGCTATGTGTGGTATCTTAGTTGTATTAATGTTTGCTCGTGTTTTGCTGTATATCTGGCTAATCCTTAGCTATGATTTGGATGAATCTTTTATTCCTTGAAGAAAGCAGCTCACTGTGTTGCTGCTGATGTTATGCTGCTCCTGGTTGAGCTGCCTGTGCATGACTGCAGGTTTGGCTGGGCCTTTCTGCTGGTTGGTGGGAGCTGGAGGCCGAGGCTGAGGCTGAGGCTGAGGCTGAGGCTGAGGCTGAGGCTGAGGCTGAGGCTGAGGCTGAGGCTGAGGCTGAGGCTGAGGCTGAGGCTGAGGCTGAGGCTGAGGCTGAGGCTGAGGCTGAGGCTGAGGCTGAGGCTGAGGCTGAGGCTGAGGCTGAGGCTGAGGCTGAGGCTGAGGCTGAGGCTGAGGCTGAGGCTGAGGCTGAGGCTGAGGCTGAGGCTGAGGCTGAGGCTGAGGCTGAGGCTGAGGCTGAGGCTGAGGCTGAGGCTGAGGCTGAGGCTGAGGCTGAGGCTGAGGCTGAGGCTGAGGCTGAGGCTGAGGCTGAGGCTGAGGCTGAGGCTGAGGCTGAGGCTGAGGCTGAGGCTGAGGCTGAGGCTGAGGCTGAGGCTGAGGCTGAGGCTGAGGCTGAGGCTGAGGCTGAGGCTGAGGCTGAGGCTGAGGCTGAGGCTGAGGCTGAGGCTGAGGCTGAGGCTGAGGCTGAGGCTGAGGCTGAGGCTGAGGCTGAGGCTGAGGCTGAGGCTGAGACTGTGCTGACAGAACTCCCATGTTGCCATTTGTGGGCAGACTGGGCCCAGGAGGAACACCCTGGAAAATAAATCACATGTGTAAAATATTAAACATATTATTTGTACTTTCTCCAGTTATTGACAGGCATGACTGTAGTACAGGAGTACCTGTTCTTGACACTGATATCATGGAATTAGACTTTTCACTACTTACACTCAAATCAAGTATTTTCTTAAGTGAAACGGACTCAGACTTTACACTTCAAAGCAGTCTTTCCTGATGATTGCGGACCCCTAGTGGTACGAAATGGCAGTCTAAGGTAATGCAGATAAAATACTACTACTACTACTACTACTAATAACAATAAAAAATATTATTATTATTATTATGACTTAAAATAGATTTTAAATGGGAAACTGTTTTATATTATGAGGCGTCCAGTAGGAGGCACTCTGGCTGCTGTATTCTAAGGAGATTGGACCAACATAGTCACTTGTTTGTTTTCTGTGGTTTTTCCTGAAGATAAATTGACATGTATCGTGGCATCAAATGATGGTAACCTTGGCTTAAAAGTTGTTTTTTAGATCGTCTCCGACAAAAGCCTGCATTGACTCAACTGAAAACAGGTGACACGAGACTGGAGGCCAGTAGTTGTTTCCATATCAAAACGGGATTGCAATAAAGTATATTGTCCACTAGAGGACACGATTGCACAACGCTGCTCGTGTCAAAGAAGCTATTCAACCTCCAGAATGTGGTCAAGGCGACACCCTCTGCAGATAAAAAAGGGAGACTTGGAGATTTTTTTTTCTTCTGCGGAGTGTAAGCCCTCCTCAAGGCCTGCTTCTCTCTTGATAATTGTGTCTAAGCAGAGTGGAAAGAATCCCTGAGACAAGCAGAAACTGTGTGCTGATAGGGAGTAAAACACCAGCACAGTGACTCCGGCTCCAATTAGGTTCTTTTTTTTTTTTTTTTTTTTTTACTGATCATGGTGTTGTGTTTGGAAAGTATATGGTTACACATTTAGCTCCTGACACATTCAGATTGATTAGGATTTTGTACTTGGCACACTTCAGTGGAAACACAGACATGCACACAGGCAACATCCCTTAAAAAAAAAAAAAGAAAAGAAAAAAAACAAAAAACGCATGCAGGCCATCCAAGTCAAACCAGTCTTTTTGTGTACACAAGGACACTCTCACACAGTGCTATCATCCTGGTAAGTCCAAGCATTTGTCATGAAAAAGGTTAACGTGCACCCAATCCAAGTCAACACTGTGTGTGTGCGCACATTGTCAGTCATTGTATTGACTTTAAATATTTCCCATGGTGAGGTGGATTAAAACCTGTGGTGCATTTAACAGAAGCTATTACTTAAAGGATGAGTGGATGTGTGGCTGTGCACAGGACGTCTCTCTCTCTCTAAAGGGTGGTGACTCTGTGGTCCCTGAAGAAAAACCATAAAGAAAAGAGAGAGAAGTGTGTGCCTGTGTGTGTGAATGTTAATGAATGGGCCTGGAATCCAGAGAACTGATGAGACAGCATTAGAGAAAAAGAAAAGTAGGAACTCATCAACAGTCACGAGCAATTTAAGATGAGCTAATATTCGCCTTCCCGTCGGAGCACAGCCCACACAACAAACCGAGCATGGCAATTGGCCTACACAGCGACTTGAGCATCAACACCTCACTTTCTCTGGTTAGCCCAGAAAACAGTGTGGCTGACACGGTGTGCCTCGGCGTAAGCAGACTGTGAGGATGCGAGTCCACAGAGGAACGCTGGAGAGCTCTTGTTCTGCCTCTCTTGTAAAGACAAAGCCAGTGAGTGGTATTCTAGCTTGTACAACTGAGTAATCCTCTTTGTCATCCTCATGTGTCATAAAGCTGTTTTTCCCCCCCCCCCCGCCCCCACTTCTTCACAAGCATGTTGTAAATGAATACCACATGTGGCTCGGGTCTCCAAGAAGGAGCAGAGTGATTTAGTCTCCCATCCTGTGGCAGTACAGGCAGCTGACACTGATCCAGGCCCTGCTTTGCCGACTCTCACACTGCACTTCCTCTAATCTGGACTTGGGACCCTGTCCCTGGGGAGCACCTCGGCATCTGGACTTGGCCGCAGCTCCCTTTCCCAGGAAACAAGCACTCCCTTCACAGCACTGCCGGAATGACCTGGTAGACTCAACCCTCTTATCCCAGCTCAGGGAAGTGGTACAAAAGGCTGAGGAGCTTCTTTTTTTTCTTTTTTTTATTTACTACGAGCAGCGCTTTAGCCACAGTTATAATTATGGTCTCTACAATCTTAAAGATTGGGGTGGGGTTCTTTGTTCTTCTGTCAGTGATAAATGATAAAGTAGTAGGATGGGGATCACTGAAGTGTTAAAATAACTGTTAAAATGTCTGTTTTATTTAAAATGTAATTTATTGAGGAAACTCTTTTAACACAGTTTTTTAAAATCTTGTGCTAATACTATCAAAGGTTCATTATATTTACAACCCTGCCATGCAAGTCATGGCACAGAAGTTTAGAAGAGACACACATGTCATTGTTGTAGCCTGAGATTATAGTTCTCCAGGGATTATGAAGTGATTTGTACCGTGATGAGCTGACAGGCCTCTGGTTTATGACTAAAAATGTTTAAATATACACCAGTTTGGTTTTGGTGCGGACAGAACAGCTGTGTTTGCAGCTGAAGTGTGTCGATATTGTTGCACACTTTGAATGTGTTATCAAGTAAACTTTTTTTCTACAGGTTTTAACAAGGTGTGATCACCTGCTATGCAACCTCATCTATGTAACTTATACTTTAATATAAGTCACTGAGACACTTCCCAGGATCAGCCCGTGTACATATTTCAACTAAGTAATGACTACAGGATATATATAAAAGTTCTGGAGTCTTATTGTTTTAATATCTGTTACCTTAAGTTTAACATTTGACCTGTGCGGTGACTGTGTTTCTTTAACACCAGTCTTTCTGCACCTGCACAGTGTATTGTGACTGAGGTGTTAAGTTACCAGGAAATTCCAAAGTGATGTTCTCACAGAGCAGATATTAGGCATACATTTAAATCTCAGACATCATAAATAATAACAACCTGCCACCAACACCCTGTCTCTCTGTTGGTGTATGTTGTTACCTTAAAGTTCTAGGTTTGTGTGCAGCCCAAATGCTAAGACTAAAACACTTAAACTTGCCATTTTTTCTGGGAAAAAAAAACTGATATACATTGGTTTGCAGTGCTGCTGTATTTGGTCTTCCTCAGGGGGTCAGGGGGTATCTCTCTGTTGGTGTATGTTGTTACCTTAAAGTTCTAGGTTTGTGTGCAGCCCAAATGCTAAGACTAAAACACTTAAACTTGCCATTTTTTCTGGGAAAAAAAAACTGATATACATTGGTTTGCAGTGCTGCTGTATTTGGTCTTCCTCAGGGGGTCAGGGGGTATGTGTGTGTGGGTGTGTGTACATGTGGAGACACATTTATGTAAAAATATGACTGCTGCAGGGAATCTTGTTATTGTGGGGACATTTCGCGGGTCCGCAGGGAGTGGAAGGGTATTTTGAGGTTGAAGTCTGATAAAGTTAGGGTAAGGAATATTTGTGATTGTTAATGTTTGGGAAAAGTTCTATTGAATGGGTTGAGTCTGTGTCATGTTCTCACAAAAAAAGTGTGTGTATGTCAAAGGGTGTGAGTGCATTTGTGTAAACTATGTCCGCGGAGACAGACGTGAGTGTCGTATTAGCATCATAACATGCTTGACAATGTGGTTTTAAGGCTGGCAGTGCAGCCCACATCTGTGGTTGCAGTCTAAAATGAAGCCCACTGTTACAGTCACTAATGTTACACGGGGGGATCAGGGCACTCTTTCAGGACCTTTACTTTTCTGGCATTACGAATTCATGTCAGTGTGGGAAGAGACTTCTCTCTTCTCCTCTGTGAGCTGCCCCGTCCTCATTAGCTGGACTTTTAACCCTGTCCATGCTGGATTTAAGAGACAAATCAAACAGTGTGGGCAGGGTTTAGTATCTAACATGGAATAACAACTTCATCATATCCCTAATATACTGATGTTCTGAAGGCTTCTGCTAAACCTGAGTATTATATTTTGACCTAAAAGAATATGGTTTACTTCTACTTCACAACTAAATAAATAACCTTCAGTATTAGTTCTTAAGTCCAAGCTGACTTTGATGATTCTCTGCTCTATTAGTCATTTTTATCTCAGTCCTGGATGACTTGTAGTGCGACTAATCAGAGAACAGCATTTAAATAATTCATTTCTGGGCAATACATGTTCATACCTGTGGAACATCTTATAATATGATAATTTGAGATTCTTACAGATGTGAATTTGCATCAATCACGTATTTTCAAAGGTTATTATTGGGTCATTTTGAACAGGCAGCTGTTATTTAAAGAAAAGGACAGAATATTAAGTAGAAATTCCAAATAAAAAGAGACCAAATATAACAAGGATCTGGTGCAGTACACAGGAAATGACATTAGGCTCTGGAATGGTCCGGGGTTGCATTCTAAAAACTAATATTAGAGACCTGATCCAAGTCCAATCCAAAAATACACTGCAAATTCTGATTAATAAAGTGATGGTATCAGTGTTTGAAAATATGTCTATTGTTACTGCGTGAGGGTCCAAACAGTAAGCTCTCCTTCTAAAGTTTCTTTAAAGGTGGACTCCAACATGCCCCGTAACTGTGTTGTTCTCTTATTTCGCAGTGAAACTGGTTCTGTTCTGCCTCTTCATGAAGTATTTGTCATCCTACCTTGTTTACTTCCATATCTGTACATCCCCCCGCCCCCATCCCTCTCTCTTCCAGTCACTGAAGCATTTCCCTTGATCTCACAGTGGTTTCTAGAGCTCCCTCGTGGAGCTTGCATTATGATTTCACACAAAGGCAGCTACAGATACAGTTAAGTGCATAAAAAATGAAAGAGGGGAGGGGGGTGGTCAAAGTCTCCACCAATCATAACAAATCAGTGATTCCACCTCCAGCATGAGGCTAAGCAGATTACTGTCATTTTCCACCACTTGTCCCTTGTAGCTAACAACCTCCAATTAGCAAATCCCACTGTGCATATCTGTGCAGTGACAGGGAGCCACCATGACAGGCAGAGAAATTAAAAGTCCTGCTTTTTAATCCACCACGGTCTGGGAATCTGTGTCAGCGTCAAAGCACTTTTAGAGGAAATACACATTCACTGATAAAAGCAGCGAGCATAATGACAAAAAACCAACTCCACAGTCTGTAGGTACTGCTGCCTCCTTTTGTTCTATACACAGCAGCAGTTCACTGCAGCTAGCTGATTGATGAGGAAACAATGGTGAGTTAGTGTGACTCAGTATCATGTTACTACACCTGCGGCAGAAACGCTGGCAGCCACCGGAACGATCTTTAACTTCATGTAAATTTGCCTTCACTGTGTTATTTTCTTTTACTTATGTGGGGAATTCTAGCATAGCATTTAGCTGTTACTGAATTATGTTTTATATAATTATGTTATATATATAAGCTTTCCAAATCTGGCTAGTCTGCTTTCATATAAAGTGCTTAGAGAAAAAGAAAATTACTTTCATTATATATAATATCAAATTAATAGAATATTCTTATATATAAGATAATGCTGTACATCTATTAAACTACAATAGTTATAAAAAATAGAGAGATTTTCAAATATATTCGGTGAGAATTTTAAAGCCACAAACCAAGTTCACCGTCAGTGTTGTCATTGTTCCCTGCTTATCGGTTATTATTGTTCCTATCAAGGATTTTCAGGAGTAACCAGTTTTAATTAGTAAGCAATGGACTAGATCACTAACCTGCCGCTGCTGTGTCAGTCTGAATGGCACTCCTGCCTGACCAGGCTTGGGTTGGTGACAGAGGCTCCCTGATGTGGAGATCTGTTGATTCTGGAAGTTTAACTGGGATTGCTGCTGAGCTGACGTCTTGTTCACTGGGATTGGCATGGGCTGATTGGCCGGATGATGTGCTTTAGGACTAAAGTGCAACGTGGGTTTGGTGCTTAGAACCTTTATGTCCAAGTGGGAGGAGCCACCGTGACCATTGGATTTGTAGAGGCAGTTGTTGACTCCTTTGCTCTGGGAGCTGACCCTCTGCTGGTTGAGAGGAGCTGCGTTGGGGACCTTGCCTTGGGAGAAGGCGTTGGATGTGGCGTGGCTGCTCATGGCAGGAGCCCAGCTGCTCATTCCTACAGGTGGAGGCTGGTGGTGGTGATGAAGCAGAGAGCTCGGCTGCTGCTGGTTTGCTGCCATCTGCTTTAGCTGCTCTGCGTGGGATATTTCTGGCCAGCAGGGCAAGGCTCTTGGGATTCCTGTCTGAGTTGAAACTTTCGGTGTTGTGTTAGTAGAAGAAACACTGGACAGTGTGAAAGAGGGGCCTGCAGAGGCTGGTCGGAGCTGCGGCGATCCACAGTGAACGTGCCCAAAATCTGGGGAGGGTTCCGTCTTAATTTGCTTCTCCAACGGTGAGCACAGGCCTGCAGCTGCACCAGCTGAGCTTGGTCGTCCCAGATCCAGACCAAATGTATCGTCTTGTTTCAGCATCTTCTCAAACTCTAGGTCATTCAGAGGTGGCACCGTCTTTGTCAGCTCATCAAACAGTTCCTGAAGATCTGGGTCAATCTGACCGCCGCCCTCATCTTTAAAATCAAACGTCAGCTCTGTGTTCGAGTGACCGCACGGCTGCTGTTCCACTGGCTCCTTTTTCATTTCCTTCAGAGTCATGTTGAACATGTCTGACCCCACTCCAACAGGCATCATGTAATTTTTCCTCTGCATTCCCATGGTCGATGACCCCTGATGGGAATGAGGCTGGGTAGAAATATGGTTGCAAGGCCCACGTCCCAGTCCACTAGTGTCCAAACGGACCCTCTTAAAGTCTGACCCGGAGAAATTGCAGGAGAGACCATTCTGCTTGAGAAGGTGTCCTGGAGCTTGTCCTTCAATTTTCCTCCGCAAAGATCCTTGAAGCTGCAACACAAAAAGAAAAAAAAAGTTAAGTCCCTGTGCCAGACCTGAACAAATGGGAGTAGAAACTGTTGTACATCTTTTTCAAACATCACATGTTGTGTATTTTATCCGCATAAAAAAAAAGGGCTTGTCCATATTTTGGGGATCAAAAGCAGTACTTTAAAATTGACAGCTGGAGGTTCTGATTGCAAGAGAACCATCTCTACACACTTATCTAATATACTTCAACCTCACTGTACGCTGCATATATAGTATACCTACACAACCTTGTTACTTCAGGCTGCACTTGCTTCCAAACTCTTATGTAAATCATTTTACGTCACGGTGATAGATCGGAGTTCTGGAGCATTAAATTCTAAATTCAGTTCAAAGCAGCACCATGAAGGCTGATGCAATTTTACAATTTGCTGGGAGGCTTGTAAGTGCAGTTCACAAAAAAATAAAAATAAAAAAAAATTTAAGAAAATCTAAGGAGATTAATTTATAGCCACATGCTTTTTTACTCAGTACAGCAGTTTCTATTTATTGATTTTTTTATTTTTTTTTGCCAACAGATTCATATTACTGCGCTAACGATGTGACACATTCGGAGGAAAGACGTATAATCTATACGGATTTGTCAAAACACTGAGCTCTGAGGAGGGGCGACACTGCAGCAGCACTTAAGACATTGTTTTCACATAATGTAGTGGATGGGCTGAGAAGATGGTGAGGAATCTGATACAGTCGACCGACCTCGGAGAGAAGAATAGAGCCTTTTGTACGGTCCCCTTATTTGCATACATTATATTTTCATCTATTGTGCATCTTAAGACAGCAGAGCTTCTCCTTTGTGGCTCAGATTCCTCCAAACATGCTGCTGCAGAGCCGACTTCCTTTTGTGCTTTTCCCATGTCTTTATTTACAGTGCTTAGCAAAAAGCCAGGACTTACAATGCATGCAAACCAGCATCTTAAAACAAAAAAAAAAATCGACAAAACCACATTGTTAAAGCAAAAATCTTGATTAAAGTCATGTCCGATTTGAGGGAATGTATTCTGTCATGTAGACTTTTTGCATCTTGAAAAACAATGAACTAGGAAAAAGACGTTTAATCTAACCATCTTTCACAGTCGGTACCTTCATGGAAACAAAATGAGCCTGATTGTGCAACAACTTGATCATCACATATTTCACCGTGGGAACAAATCTGACTCATCCCCACCTGCTGGCACTGGTTTCATTAAGATGATTCATATCCTGAAGGTTTGGAGTAAATCCTGTACTTTACACTTGTGCTCTGATCACGACCATGTTTTTCTTGCTAATTCTATAAATCGTATGTATAGTGACTAATCTTACTTCCCTCTATATTCAGATGACGTATCTTGGTGTTAAAGAAACAGTGAAACAGAAATAGAAAAAGAATAATAATGAAATTTTGAAAGATTTTTAAAGCCATTCATTATTTTCATTCTGGAGGTATAATCATAAAAAAATGCATGAATCACATGGATCCATTTGTCATGATCAGTCAGTTTACATTTTTTAATTAGAAGGCAGAATGATGGGCCCACTGTCCATTCCCATATCGTTGCTCTAATATACAGTTGATATATTTGCACACCCTGCAGGACCTCAAAAAAAAAAACAAAAAACCATCTTGACACACCGCACGTGTTTGTGAAGGCTTTGACTTCAGGTCAGACGCCCCGCTTGTGTCACACCAACCCCACAGGGTGCAGGGCAGTCAGTGAGTCTAAGGCTGACAAGCTGACTGACACAATAGCAAATTGAATCGCAAGGCACTGTACACCGATCATTATTGATGAGGATAGCGATTTACACTGAGTTTGGAAAGAAACCCTTGATGCTTTGCAAAAGACACGGTCAAGATGGACAGTAACGACTAAAATACACCAACGCTATAAGAAAACTGAGTTGAGAAAATTTTAGTTATACTTTTATATATTTTCTTAACATATTTCAATATTAATAATTTCAATCTTTTGATCAGTCGCTAAGAAAAACATGTGGGAAACATATAGATGTACCTGCTTCTTAATAGCAAACATACAGTAAATAAATCATTATTTACCTGCTGTGGTGAGCTACTGTTGACTGTTTCTTGCTCAGAAACTAGGCGTTTTATTTGATTTTAAATCTCGTCCT